GATTCAACGTACAAGACAAACAAGTACAAGTGCCCACTGGTTGAGATGGTTGGGATGGCTCCAACGAACCAGAACTTTCTGATTGGTTATGCAGTCATGAAGGATGAGACGGCTGCGAGTTACCGTTGGGTGTTGGAAAAGTTGAGAAACTACATCGGCCCAAATGTACAGCCATCGGCCATCGTAAGTGATTGTGAGGGAGGTCTTTTTGCCCCGATAGCGGAGCTGTTTCCGGAGTCGAGCCATTTACTGTGCACATGGCACATCAACAACTGCGTGAAAGTCAAAGCCTACAACCTTTTCAACAAGAACTTAGATTCAGCAGAGAGATTGGTAAATGGTAAGTGTCGGAAGATCCTGCAAGCTACCACGGAGGCAGAGTACGATCGAGCCTTGGAAAACTTAAAGGATGCGTACAAGTGGTGCCCGCCAATCGTAGACTATGTGATGCATCAGTGGGTACCTCAGAGGGAAAAGTTTGTCAAATATTGGACGAACCAAGTTCTTCATTTTGGGAACACTACGACATGCAGAGTCGAGAGCGCTCATAGAGCTTTGAAGGACTGGATTGATTCTTCCACGGCTGCTCTGGATACACTGTTCGAGAGAATAAACAAGGCTATTGATACTCAGAGGAACGGCATCAAGAACTATCTCGAGGACTCCAGACGACGACATGGCATGTTGTATGGCCATTTCATATTTAAGATTCTCCACGGTCGTGTGTCACACCACTGTTTGGGGTTGATTCTGAGCGAGTATACCAGGATGAGGGAGTTGGGCGATGAAGTGGCTATTCGGTGCGGATGTGCTATATCAATGACTCATGGATTACCTTGTGCATGCACCATTCACCGCGTAATTACGCAAGACAGGGCGTCGTTACATGTCGATCAGGTTCATCCATTCTGGCGGACGCTCGTTATCGGAGAGCATGCTGTGACGCATACGGTTCACCGTGAACAGGAGGAGTTGGAGCAGTTTCAGATGATGTTTGACCAAGTGTCCTCCAGTCACCCTTCGATCATTCGTAGTGCTACACACATACTTCATGACATGTTCAATACATCGTGTTTGGATACCGAAGAACCGGAAGGGGTCGAGCGACCTAGGGGTCGACAACCACGGCGGAACAAGAGTGCGTTTGAGTACATTCGCGGTCGTGGCCGTGGCCGTGGCCGTGGTCGTACATCCTCATCAAGTGGCAGCCAATCATCGTCGTCGGTGAATATGCCCGGCACCGGTAAGACATTCGACTTCAATTTCTTTTGTTGACTGTTTGATTAGTTTACTGTTGACTTGTTTATTGTGTTTATTGATGTGTGTAACAGGGAGAATGGACATTGAACATTTTCCATATAAGGACAGGATCCCTAATATCATGATGCCATTCTTGGACGGGTGGAATGATGTCATTGCAGATGGTAACTGCGGATTTCGGGTTGTGGCGGATGTGTTTCAAATGGGTGAAGACAACTACGGTTTAGTGCGGCATTTGATGTACAGTGAAATCGCATCAAACCGAGATGTGTATGGCCATGTGTACGGCGAGGACTTGGATAGGTCTCTGCAGCGTATCCGGTGGGGAGGGGGACCTTGCGGTCAAAATCATTGGTTCGATGCGCCACTTGATCTCTTTGCCGTTGCAAACATCTACAAGTGTGCAGTCATGCATTTCGGCCTTGGTTTACATAGTCGAGCCTATTATCCATGTACAACGGTTCTGCCCTGGTGTTCGCGCGAGACCGTCACCAGACCGGTAAGGGACGTTGCTATTGGATTTCTTGGGCCGTCATACAGACATTTTATCCGATTAGACATGTCACCCGATTTTCCGGTCCCAAATATCATACCGAAGTGGTATGAAATTCGTAGAGCAAGCGTGGAGGGTTGGGATGCTTTGTACCATGCTCGCGTGCAACAGTGGAACAATTTAATTGCCATGTAGTTTTTGTTGATGTACACCTACCTTTTACTATGAGGCCTTGTATTGTCAATACTATGTCATTTCTATGTGTTCATTTTTAAAAGATAATGTTTCATTTTAAAAACTAACAACAATAATTTCAAATATTACAAACTAAAATGATAATATTGAATTTTAAAAACTAAGAACAATAATTTCAGATATTACAAACTAAAAAGATAATGTCTAATTTCAAATATCAGTAATCCCTCTGTGACGCCCACTGCCACTGCTCAAGGGTCCGTTCCAGATCGTCGATAACAGCTCTGCCTGATGCACTCGTCATGCAGTCCCTTTCCTCAAAAAGTCGGTGTCCCAACTGCATAATCTTGCCCATCCACTACACAAAACAAAAAACATGAAACGACGTATTATACATATATATATTAAAATAAGAGAACAACAAATAAAATATGAGACGTACCGCATAAGAGGCAGTGGCAGGTGGCACATCGTCATCATCTGCGTCGTCGATGTCTTTGATCAACCTCGGGTGCGAGTGCCGGATGTACCATTCCATGTAGTGCTGGTCACACATGGCAGTCACCCCACTTGGCGGCCGCTGCAGCTCCGCCGTCCATAGGCGGGCAACCATCGGAAACTGCTCCCACATGGATATCATGTTTGACGGCCATTGGACGACGTACTCCTTCGACGACGCAGATCGTACCGCCTTACTGGGCCATGCCGGTGGAGGTGGGACAACTTGGACAAATCCAAGCTGGCGAAGACAGCGCTGCGGCATGTACGCCTCTACGATCTCGCGATACTGAATCAGTCCAGTGTAGAGGGTCCTGGGTACCCTATTACTAGGGTTCTGGCCGAAAGGCATCCAGTTCACCTGCACATTATTTAAAATCAGTAACAGTCATAAAATAAAGCATCAGATTGTAAAAGTAGAAATAATTTAATCACTGTACCTCTAAGGGGGACATCCTGTCAAGCGATAACCGTATGGAGCGCAGGCGGTCAACGGACTTCTTCTCGACACGCGGACTCCACGCACAGGCACGTGGCTGGCCATCACCAATGGGAACCGGGTCGCGGTGTGGTCGAAACGCAGGAAAATACTCGTATATCAAGGTCTGTAACAACGTCAGACATCCAGTGATACCTGCTGCATCAGCCCGGCTCGAGAATCCTAACTGGCGATACAGATACGCCAGCGTAGCCGACCCCCAAGAAAACTGGCCTACTCTGTCGGGCTCACACGCGTCAACTATGTCGCGTGGCCTGAGCTTGTTCCCGCTCTTATCCGGAAACAAGGTACACCCGAGAAGAAGAAAAACATATGCAGCCAGCTGTGTGTCCTGCGTCCTACGTGCCGTAGGGTGCAAACATCGCTGCAAGACGGCTGCGATCTTAACGCCGCCGTGATCCCACACACCAAGTGCCGATGTGTACAGCGCAGCCCTATCCACCGCCAACAGCTCCGCTAGTAAATCTGCCTGATCCGCATCAGTGACGACAGATGCTCGGTTTCCCTCCACGGGAATCCCAAGGATGGCCTCGACGTCATGCAACATGATCGTCATCTCACCGAACGGAAGGTGGAACGAGTTCGTATCCGGCTGCCAACGCTCAACGAAAGCCGTGATCAGCGTCCAGTCAATCCTATCGTGCATGGTGGCAGGAAGGTGACTCACTCTAGTGGCCCTCAATCGCCCGACCATCTCGCTCTCCTCCGGCCAAGCATCAGCCCAGCTACACAAAAACCTACAAGTCTTTTCCCGGGTTTGGCATTTCAAAATGCCTGTATCCAAAGCCCTCTCCTGGTCCTCCCAAATACGGGTAGCGATGTGTCCTAAAAAGCTAGGAATCACACTCCCGTCTATAGGTCCCCCGGCCACCTCACCCCTCACCATCCAAGAATCATTAACGGCCCTCGACCGTTTTCTGCTACCCGCAGACACAGTGGACGCAGATGATGTTCCAGATCTACTAACAAACCTACCATCTCGACCCTTACGCACATCTACCCTATGCGTCTCATACGTATCATCAAGTCTCTGACTGAATGGACCGTAATCATCATATGGTCCACTCTGATCGTCGACATCCTCATCTGCATCATCCTCGTCCTCGACCTCCTCCTCCTCGACCTCCTCCTCCTCCTCCTCATCATCATCATCATCATCTTGATCGTCCGCAGAACAGTGCACCCGTTCTCTGCGGGCCGAGGCCGAAATACCACGGGATCTAACGTGTCTGGGCCCCGACCTCTCCATTGAGTAGATCGTACTCCTCACGACGTCAATACTCTTCCCCGCACCAGGTCTAAATTGCGATGCCTAACTCCAAGTAAATAACGAAACATAATAACGAAAACAAATTAAAAAAAGTCGAAAATAAACACAAAAGCAAATAAACAAGTCACGGAAATAAAATTATAAACATAAAAAATATAAAATTAAAACAAATAAAAAAACAAAATTTTTAAAAAAAAAGATAAAAAAAAAGGGAACATACAATTTAAAAAAAAGAAAAACAAATTTTTTTAAAAAAAAAAAAAAAAATCGAAAATAAAATTTAAAATTAAAAAAAAACAAAAAAAAAATTTAAAAAAAAAAAAGAACGAGGCGCCTAGGCAAGGCGCCCGTACGGTGGTGTCGGCGCCTAGCCCAGACGCTACTACCACGACAGTGGCGCCTAGCCTCTGCGCCGCCGCCGTGGTATTGGCGTCTGGGCTAGGCGCCGCCACCACCGTACGGGCGCCTTGCCTAGGCGCCTCCTCCGTGGTGGTGGCGTCTCGCCTTGGCGCCCCACCGTCGCCGGAGGTTTTTTTTTTAAAAAAAAATTACAAAAATTAAAAAAATTACCTTCTGGCCGGCATACCGCCTTCCGCCCACCGCCGGTGCCGCCACTTCCTTGCCGGGCCGCCTCGACATAGCTCTGGAAATAATTTAGAGAGAGAAAGTGGAAGTAGAGAGTAGAGAGAGAAATTGTGTGTTTTTAGTATGAGGGCAAAAGTGTCATTTCACTCTTATTTTGTGGGCTTTATGTAGGAATTTGCGGGCGATGTTTAACAGTTCACTTTATAAAATGTGGCGGGTCATGACTTTTATTCTCGTTGGACCTCTCTCAGTTATCCATTGAAGCGCACTGAACGTTCTCCGTTGAATCTTACTTGTATCCGCCATTGAAGCAGCTTCTGAGGTAAGTTGTTTGTTCTTGTTATCATCATATCAATTTCACAATCTAATTTATTTGTCAGTGCTTTAAGTGTAGGGTTCGAAAATCTCAACTATTGCTTCTAAATTCTAGGATAACCAAAAGAAAAGAAAATTATGAGCCTAATTTGATTATTGAATCCTAAAATTATGTGATTTTTCGAGATAATTGAATGAAATTTGGTTGCTAATGTATTTCAAAACCCTTTAATGTTAGGATTGAAGTATGAAATTAGACCTCTTTTCGCTGCCCTGCCTCAGGGACGGGCCTGCATTCTTTCTCCTCGCCTCTCGTCGCAGACATTGCTTCTCTATTGGAACCCGATGTTTGTCTTCGCTATCATCCTCGTCAATTTTGAACCCTAATTCCTCTGAAAATGCCGGACGTACTGGCGGAATTATGCCTTCTCCGATTGCCCAAATGCCGCAGAAAATCGATATAAATCCGCCCAAAGGAACCAGAGATTTTCCTCCTGAGGATATGCGGTTGCGAAGCTGGTTGTTTCAGAATTTCAGAGAGGTTTTCTTAGCTGAGATTTTGAATGTTTTTCGATGAATTTGTGGTTATTTGCTGAATTTTGTTCTAATTAATTTGCAATTGCAGGTGTCGCATTTGTTTGGTTTTGAAGAGGTTGATTTTCCGGTGCTGGAATCAGAGGCGTTGTTTATTAGGAAAGCTGGAGAAGAAATCAGGGACCAGGTATTTTGTCTAAATTCATCTTTATCATCATTTCACATTGTTTTGTTAATCAATTTTAAAATTCTTTTGCATTATATGATGGTGAAATCAAATAAACTGTATTTTTTTTTAAGTTCATTGCTTGAAATTGTATGTAGATTTTATTATGCTGAATTATGTGATGCTGAAGTGGACTGTATGATTTGTTTTCGACTTTTGGGTGATTTAATGACTTAGAGCAACTTTTATGGCAGTATTAGTGTCACAGGAAATTATTTAATTTTATTGTGATGGCATTAGAACCTACTAACCAGCCTAACACTTAGAGTATAAACTATAACACAATAGTATAAACACAATGCACACACGAATGTTGTGGTAGCACCCGTATCAACCATAGCAAACATTTCCTTGCCGTTCACAATGACCTTGCAATACATCAGGCCATCAACAGATTCTTTGTGTTCACCTTGGTAGCATTCAACAACTTTATGGTTTAATTCAAAGTTTTCATACAACTCAACCTCTGTCATTTTCATCTATTAAATTCTTTGGTTAAGATGGGAGCAAACCGGAGATCATCCTCCAATTGAAATATATTAACAAAGCTAGCAGGCACTATATAGCCTCAAACCGTGCCAAACAATGAAAGACGCAACAAACTCAATTGGAACAAACACTAACAATGCCAGTGCTGGAAGGAAGCCACCGAGCCTTCAACAGCCATAGGTCTGTCTAGGGCTTGGGGTCCGTCAGGAAAGTGAGGGGAAAAACGCTTTTTTTTTTTTTTGTTATTTCATGTCTACATTCCTTGTAGTTCTTTTAAGTTTTATCCGTTTAATTGGCATTCAAAATTGCCTCTTGCTCTATGAGTGTCAATCTCACTCCGCCCCATTTCTTTTGGAAAGCTAGAGAATTGATGCTTATGTTATCCTCTTCTATCTCCATCTTCTTCTAACCTCTGCTCGCATACGTTTCCTTTCATTGTTACTTGGTCGCTGCAATTTGTTCACGGAAGACTGACTGAAATCTGTGTTTTGCAGTTATATTGTTTTGAGGATCGAGGAAATCGCCGGGTTGCATTGAGGCCGGAACTTACTCCATCATTGGCAAGGCTAGTCTTACAGAAAGGGTACTTAACTTGCCATTTTTGAGCTTTTGGTCATGTTGTCATGGAATAGTCTTCAATTATTTTTATTGGTTTCTCCAATGCCTATTTCATTGTTCACTTTGGCTTGTGCTTAGAGCTGGTAATCAAATGAAAATTGTTTAATTATTTTGTTTATTATTATGATTTTTGTGTCCAGGTACACCAGCCACAATTTGATCCCCATGTTTTTTTCTGTCCAGAAAATCCGCATCCTTGCCATTGAAATGGTTTGCTATTGGACAATGTTGGCGTTATGAAAGAATGACTAGAGGTCGTCGCCGTGAACATTACCAGTGGAATATGGATATTATTGGTGTGCCTGAAGTTATGGTGTGTGCATCACTTCTGCAAATTCCTGCATTTTAGTAATATTTACTTAGTGATTTATTACTCCCTAATCGCGGATTAGTTGCACTAGTTTGACTGTCGCATGATTTTATAGAAAAAAAATCGACATATTTAGTGGAAAGTGTACGATTAATTTTTGAGAGGTGCGAGTGGGGATCCTATTATTTTATGTTTTCTTAGGAAAAAGTAAGTAAAGTGGTCCCAAAGGTGGTGAGTGAAATGATACAAGTAGAGCCTGCTTGAATTTTTCATTGGAGAGATTTAGTAAGTAAATTGTTCATTAATTAGTTGCACCATGCTTGAACGTATTCTTATTACATGTTAGATCTTGTAGAGACTTAGCAATTGATATGTTAGATCTTGTATTCTTCAACTTGTTTCATAAACTTATTGTTTAGATTTGTGACTAGCTTAGATTTGGATTAGTGAAAAATATTCACTAATTAAAATTACACACCCTAGCATAGATTACTTTATCTCTTTGACGGTACAAAATTTGCCAATGCACATTTGACTATCAATATCCTTAATATCTATAAGTAAAAATTATAAAAAGTTAATATTTTGAAATTATACATTAAGATAAACCCATCAACTTCTTACATACTAACATTTGTTAAGGTGGGGTTTGTGAATATCGCAAAAAATCATTTTGGGATGGAGATGAAATCTACATATTTGGAAAGTGCACATTGAGAGGACGTTAGTTTTAAAAGCGCGCTGAAGGCATTTTCATTTGTGTGCCATGGTGCATTTCCAATCCCAAAGCGCCTTAGCCTAGGTGCAAGGCACAATGCCTCTCTCATTTGTGGTGTAAGGTGGGTGGGTGATGTGGCAGATTTTTGTATACTTCAAAATTAAAAGTTATCATGTGACGTATTTATTACCTCTCAATGGTCAAAAACTCAAAACTAGTCTGCAAAGATTAGAGGAAAGAGAAAACAGCAATTCCTCAAAATCCTAAGTTCAGTTCAATTGTAACTTTCTTGGTGACTACCATCCTATTGATCAGATTTATGTAATCTTTTGTTTCTTGTTTCTTCTCTTTTCATCTTTCTTTTCTAACCTACTTTCTGCTTCATTCTTCTTTTCTCTTCGATCTGTCTTTTTTTCGTCTCGATCTGTCTTTTGCTTCTTCTCTATTCTTTTTTAAGATCTATTTGATTTGGAAGCTTCACCATTAAGTCAATTATAGAGTACTTTTGCCTCCTCCCCCCCTCCCCTCTCTTTATTGTCTCTTTCAATCACTCTCATCGAGTTATGTGCCCCACTTTCTCTAAAACAGCGAGTCAACTGCTAAAAAGTCATGTGAACCCCTCCCTAGCTCCCCCTCTTCTCTATCTTTTATGAGGACCTTCATTTCATTGTAATTAATATTTTATCCCCCTCTCTAGTTGGTTTTTTATGAAAAAGTATACCAAGAAAAAAGGTGTGCCTCTTCTTTGAAAGGTGCTTGCCTTCACCGTGCGCCTAAGCTCTAGGGAGTAGGGACCCTTTGCACCTCAGTGTGCCTCACACCTTTGAAAATTAAGATTATGATAAATCTAAGAAGCTCTTACTTGATAATATTTCTTTGTTATACATTAGTGTTGATATACAGTTTAAGTTTAGTTAGACCAATACATCATAAAGATAAATATTCAGACCTGCCAGACCACGTTAATATAATCAGACCAAAATACTTTATTTCAGAAAAGAACAGGTTCTTAAGCCCTCTGAGGTTTTATGTGCCATGTAGAATTAGAACTGTGCTTGCTTTTGTTCCTTTTGTTTAATATTTGTTTGATTTCCTTATACTGTCTACATATCCTTAAGTTACCATACTGTTTTGATCATGATATATTAATGTGTATGTGTGTGTTAGCGGACCATTTGCTATGATCTTGTAAAGTTCAAACTGGGCCATCATATATCATCAATAAAATTCTAGAATATGGCACCTTTAATGCCATCTATCCTAAGCTGGTAGATGTCCTATCTTAAAATACCTGCAGAATACCCTCAATAATCTATCTATGTAATTTTTATTATTTACTGCTATTTGTTTGGTTTGATACATAAATCTCATTGTGCTCATGATATTTGTACTGGTAAAAGGCCTAAATAAGTCTAACCCTGGCAATCTGATGATAATTTTATTAAACATCTCATTTTTTCTAGAATAATCTATTTATTTCAAAAGTTGTTTCAATTCAATTGGTTCATGCTATGTCTCCGGCAAGTTCCATCGTCAAAACCATGTCTTTTTTCTGATCTTATCTTTGGCTATGACGTATGTATTTGGTTGAATCTTGCTTCCTCTCGCTGAATTTTAAAATATAATTTCATGCAATAGGCTGAGGCGGAGCTTATTTCTGCTATAGTCACCTTCTTCAAGAGACTAGGGATAACAGAGGCAGATGTTGGATTCAAGGTTTCGAGCAGGAAGGTATGAACTGCTTTCCATGAGGTATTCATTCACTTAGAACCTCGATCCTTTTGACCTCCTCTACTTCTTAAAAAAATAAATATATGCTGACATGTTTGATCAGGCTTGATTTTATTTTCCTGTATAAAATATTAAAAGGTTTAATGTTTTACATTTTTATACAGCAAACATCATGTTTGTTTAATTAATAAATTTGTGATGTTACCCGGTCATTATGTTGAGTATGTCAATATTTAGGGGGAAACATAATACTTCCTCCAGTATTTTTTTTATTTTTTTTTATTTTTAAGCGTTATACTTTCCTTTTGCGGCCATTTTGTTATTATTATTTTTTTTATTTTAAGTGTTACAAGTTGTACAATTCCTTTTTTTTGGCAACCTACTTCATTTAATTTTAATTCTCATCCCACTCATGATCCCTACTCAAACCCACTATTACTTTTTTGTTATTTTTTTCCCTCTTACATCCCTCACTTTTCAATAAAAATATTTAACAGTTAAACCCACTTTATTTTCTTATAATTTTTTAATACCCCAACAACCCCACTTACATCTTATTGTATTCAAGTATTGGCTAAAAGGGCCCTTTTAACTCAGTGGTAGAATAACGCCATGGTAAGGTGTTAGTCATCGGTTCAAATCCAATAAGGGGCTTTTTAGGTTTCTCATAAAACTACCGTCTATTTGAGCGGGGATAGAAGTATTGTTAATTGGTATTATGAAAGTACAAAGCAAGCAACTTTCTAGTATAATAAGCTAAACTTATTAGTAGTAGTTATAAAGTTGAACTAATTAATATACCTAAAACTATGTGCCGATCAAAGTATAACTCTTAAAAAAAAAAAAAACTGAGGGAGTAGCAAGAAGTGGAGGCTATGGTTGTGAGAATTCTATTCAGATATTTCAAGTGAAACTGATGATTGGGGTTTAAAGGATTTGGCACCCAAATAGGTTTATTTCTTCAAATATGTATATTTAGTTTTTGCAAAATGGGAAATTTGAAATCTTTCTTTTATTAGGTGATGGAATTTTGTGAAACAGGTTATCTAAAGTTATAAGGTTCTTACAGTTGCAGTTTAGGATTGTTGCAATATAAAAGTTATTACATCATCTTCAAAGTATGTATGTTAACTAGTAGTTGTTTATTATACTTTTTCAAAGTAAGTATGTTGAGGCTATTCCTTTTATTCAGGTTTTGCAGGAAGTTTTGAGGTGCTACAATTTACCTGAAGAATTATTTGGAAGAGTTTGTATTGTTATTGACAAGGTCAGTTAAAGAATTATTTCTTAGCATGGCTATTTTGCGAGTGGATTGCTTTATTTTAAGACTTGGATCTGAGTGGTTATCATTTTTCCTTTCATCTCTCACCTGCCTTTCTTTGGACCAACGTTTTCTTGATGAGCTTCTCGCTAACCAACAAAAGTAAAAGCTAAATAGTTTTCCTAATTATGTAACATTGCAAGTTGAGGTCGATCACACGTATGGTTCAATTAAACAATTCGTTGGAATCTATCATAATTAGTCGAATCAAATAAGGAGTTGAGTAAATTATGCTAATAAAATAAATCTATGAATATAAGTTCTAGAAATAAGTATCCCCATATATAAATCAATGCGATTCATAATTAACCCCTAAATTCAACGAGATTGATGTGCCCTATACTAGTAACAGTAATTTATTTTGATTAATTAATTGATTCTTATAAGATGCAATCATGCCTGCTTTTGTAGTCATGCTGATTAAAGACTTTGCATTCTGTATTTTAATTCTTATCAACTTCTTTCAGCTACTTTTGTAATGATGCTCCCTACTTTTAGTTCTCAAGTCAATCAAGAACCATATTTTTGCTCATCAAACACTTTTTTTAGTCGAAGTATTATAATAATCAACTTTAGTGAAGAAATATAACAAACAAATTGCATTAGAGATTTGGGACTAATTCATGACATCAATCTATATTAGGGTTCAACCTCACTCCAAACAAGATACCATTATCAAATAAACAAAAAAATACAATAATTAAAGATATCATAGAAATAAAACAAGAGAATTAAGAAGAAAATAGATACTTGAATTAATGAAGTGAGAGGCTAGTTGAACATTGAAGATCTATTACTCTATTAGTTTATCTCTCATTTATAAACTTAAAGTAATTTTAATGATACTAATGTTGGGTTTCGAGGCTTTATGTTGCTACAAACAAAGAGCGAATCAAATTGGTCGTTAAAGTAAGTCACATGACCCTTTAGGTTGTTGCTTAGGCAAGCTCACACGACATTAGGTAAACATAGATATGCTCACACAAGCACTTGTGGATGTGTATTGGAGTAAAGAAATGTACACTGTAATAGTTTTTCGGATTTAAAACCTTAATTAGCCCATAGCTTCTTTAACAACTACGATTAGACCTTGAAGCTCCTTGAACTCCGTCTTTAGATCGTCAACATACCCCTTCGTCGCTCACTTTCGGGTGAGGTCACCATTAAAACAAAAGAGAGAGAAAATCGAACCTTAGAGGTATTGATGACTATGATGATGGTGATAGATGAGCAAAAAGAAAAGGAAAAAAAAAAAAAAAGATCAACAAAATATTGTAGATAAATATGCTTTCCAGTTTTCGCAAAACAAACCCTTTCTTCCGTGAGGTATCCGTCGATCTTTGGAGAATTTGGGATCAAACACCAAAAAATTCACAAAATAATTTTTCAATTTTGTAAATTGGTGCTGCAATTTGAAATTGGAATAAAATTTCTTTGGTGAATAGCAGAGATTTTCGATGAAGAACTGTGCTAGGGTTGTTCATTAATTTGGGGAAAATGAAGAGCGAGAAGATGGGATGCAGATTAGATATTTCTGTAACCTCCATCTTGAGTGGAAAATTCTAAAGGCGTGATTATTGTATGAGGGGATAATTAATAATGGTAGGTGGGATTAGTTGTAATAGGAGCAATTTATAAAAAGGCTCATGGCGCAATAAGGCAATAAAGGTCCTGTTATGTCTAGGCGCACCTTGGGTGCACCTCTTTGAAGTGAGGCTCACAATATAAAACAATTAAAAAAATCTGCCTATGTGCGCCTCTTTGAATGCACCTCGCCTAGAGCAAAAAAGGCGCTCTACTCTAATTGCCTAGCGCCTCTAACACTTAGGCGTGCCTTTTGTATACACCGAATAGGAGTAAATTAAAAATTTAATTTGAAGTTATAAGGATAGTTAGGAAAGTAAGGGTAGTTTTGGTATTTTGGTGGGGAAAACATACTAAAATTAGTAACGCTGCAACTAAAAAAAACTTCTATTTTAGGGAAGTGCAACTGAAAGAGAACGGAGGAAATATTCTTTTCTAAGTTTATTTCCTTGTAACAATGTTAGAGGAGTTATTACATATAATCATGTACTAACAAATAATTTATGCATAAATTTCCAAAATTAAATTATAATAACCAGTAAGATCATTTGCAACACCTTTTACATACACTCCGGTGCACATAGAGGTAGGTGCACCCAAGTGTAGTTTTTTGTTCATTTGATATTTTTTTGCTCATTTTTAGAATTTAACATGAACAAAATTTTTTTTCTTAAAATGAGCAAAAAATACCTTTAGGTGCACTTTGCACCCGGGTGTTTATAAATTTATTGACATCACTTGAAAGTAGTTTTTTTTTTCAATCAATGATGTACGTGTTTTATTGTACTCCCTCTGTTTTTTTTTTTTTTTTCAAATGCTACACTTGCCTTGTTCGGTCGTTATTTTTTTAAATGACTCACTTCCTCTTTTGGAAATCTCTTACATTTTAATAATATAACGTTACCCACCAATGGTCCCCACTATCTCTTACTTTATCATTTCTCACTCCTTCAATGGTCCTCAACTCCTCACTCCTTACATCCCTTTACTTATCAATAAAATAATAATTCCACTATCTTTTCTTACAATTTTTTTAATTTTTTATTATCTTTTCTTCCCTTTATTGTAATATTTTTTTATAAAAAAAGGAAGGAGTATTGTTTTTTGTTCCAACAAATTTCATGATTTGTGAAGATTACTTTTAAATGATATCAATGTTGCTCTGCCTATTGCCTAATAAGGGATCCTGTCTTGTGGCGTATGTAAGAATATTAGGAATTTAACTTATTTGATTTTCCAAATTATGAGTTTTCATGCTTAAGTTCCTTCTTTGTAAATTTTGACTAACAGCTTGAAAAGATCCCTCTTGATGAGATAAAGAAAGAGTTGAAGTCTATTGGAATGTCTGATGAAGCAATCGAGGAACTGCTGGAGGTCCTTTCTATCAAGTCTTTAACGAAGTTGGAAGGTTAGCCACCTGTATGACTATATATGTAAAGGTTTTGTCTCCTTTTTAGGGCTATTAAAAGTATTGATTCAATGTTTAAGCTGTACTCCTTAGAATATTAGTCAGATACTCATACCTTGAATTATGCTTCATTGGTCCTGCAAAAGTCTTTACATTACTCAGAGCATGATTATTTGATCCATGCAAATAGGTACTGTAAAAATAAATGTCCTAGAAATATCCCAAAATAGATTTACAATATGTAAAGAAAATGTGCTCAACCAATTGCAATGAAATCCTGAAACTACCGAATCATGTATATTGATTTTGAAATTTTACTTGATGCCATACTTACACGGTGTGTATTACTATCTCCATTTTCATGAGTAGTTACAATCACAACAGAAACTAAGGTGAACTCTAAAGGGGACCACTCATGTGGGTACTTTTGCTTTTAGGAAGAAAGGGATAGAGAGTATGATAATTATTAAATATAAGTGGGTTACAAAAATTGGTATGGAAGATGATAAAATATGAATAAAACGTTGACATAAATGGAATGTAGTAAAAGTGAGTAAAATCCCCTCAAAAAGGGAAAAAAAAAGTGAGCAGAACTTAGAAATACATATGAAAACAGAAAGTGAGTAGAACTTATGAAGACAGAGGTAGTATAATTTTGAGCTTTGTAAAAGATATAAGATAAAACCTTGAGGAGAGGAAATTAAAAGAAGAAAAGAAAGGAAATTTGCAGTGCTCGTAAACTCAAAATTTATAGTTAGGTATTAGTTGGTTGAAAATGGGTTGTTCCGGTTCAGGTCAAGTCAGGTCAGGTCATTTTCGAATAAGGAGGTTGTCCAGTTGTGTTGGGTCAATTTTGAGTCAGCTTATTATAGGACATCTAATGATTTCAGTCATGTTTATCTTTAGGTCAATTTGGATCATCCAATTTTTGATGCAGGTTGGGTGATTAAGTTGGATCATTTGGATTCCCAGGAGGAAGCCTTAGCCATCATATGGGTTTGGCTACCTGGAATGTCAACTTCCATGGATTAGATATTTAACATTTCTGAATCCTGATAAATTTTTATGGATATATCGTGGCTATATTGTAGGATGATTTTATATATGCCTTTGTGACACTGCTCATGATAAATGCAGAGAAACTTGGAACTTCTGGTCAAGTTGTTTGTGAACTTAAACAACTTTTTGCTCTTGCTGAGAAATTTGGTTATTCTAAATGGATCCAGTTTGATGCATCCATTGTCCGGGGTCTGGCCTATTATACTGGCATTGTATTTGAGGTATGTGCTGTATTTGGTTCTTATTGGCTCTATAATTTTAATAAACATTATCTTTGTTTCCATTTATGTACAACTTGTAATTATTTAGTGTCTTGCTTTCTTTAGATAGTGCCGCCTTGTTGCCATATCGTTGCCCATTTGCTACATATATATGCTCCAATATCATTTGGTCAATTTTATTTCTTTGGACAATTGAATGAATTTGTGAACCTTTCAAGTTCTGTGGCTTTGCCTTTAGTTACCCATAATAGTTGATGTAAAAATTCTTCCCTCTGTATGCAATTACTTCACTTGTCTCGAAATGTACAATTGATTGTTTTTTTCTTTATTTGGATGTAATTTGAGGATTGTGACTGGCCTATTCCATCAGATTTCGAGTTTAATAAGTAAGAGCATGTACAATATACTAATGCAAAGCTGTTGGCTAAGGCAGTAAGGCCTCAATCTTGTATCAAAGTAAGGGCATATTTTCTGCACGAATGTGCTGTAGGTAGGAACTAGTAGCAGTAAATTCTACTGCTGGGCAACTACTGTAGGGTCATAGCTTGTTGATTTGACTCTTCTTAAGGATTATACCGGTGGAAAAGGGTGCATAAATTTGGCTTCTGTGCTTTATGGTAAAATTACACAAAATATGGGCAAATTCTGGCCAAAATTAAGCTATTTAAGACTGTAAATGACTTGTTTGGATAAAGTCATCAATACATAGAATATCTTAAGTCTAAATTAGAATTGAGGTGCATAGTAGAACTAAAATGCTCATTTATAATGAGATATGCAGTAATACAGGTCTGGTATATGCCTAGTTCAACTAATCAGCACATTAAGGTGATCATGAACTTAACAAATGGCATTTAAACAGTGTAATTCCCGTGGAAGTTGGTTCAGGTGATTTGTTGAGGGATTAATGAGTTATTGATTTCTTGTTGGTAAGTAATGTAAGCAACAGTGGGTTGCAGTTTTCTTGTGCACATGCCACCTATGACCCTAGTCACCCAACTGATGTTTTTCTTCTTTTAATCCAATTGTATCCGTTTTTTTCCAGGGTTGTGACTGGGTATCCTTGACAATGGCACTCTGTCATTAAAAATTATTTTGTGTTGCTTGTTCCTTATCTTGCTTGGATGTCTCAAGTTAAGTAGTATTATTATTTCATCTGCAGTGGAGTTCCTTGAAAAAAACTTTTATTTTTTCTATCATTCAGGGCTTTGATAGAAAGGGAAAGTTACGAGCCATATGTGGTGGAGGACGTTATGATAGACTGCTATCTACATTCGGAGGTGATGATGTTCCAGCCTGCGGTTTTGGGTTCGGTGATGCAGTCATTATGGAAGTAAGCATTTTCCTTGTGTTTTTGTTGATTTGATAATTTATTTACAGACATTAATAGAGTTCATATAAAGTAGCTGTATACTAGCTGCAGTCCAATATCTGGTATTGCTTGTTTGGCTGTTTATATTTGCAAATTAAATTAAGGGAAACTTTTTTTTTTTTGTGACTCATAAATTAAGGGAAACTTTACTAACAAGGTTTTCCAAACTTTCCTAGCCTAACTCCCACTTACTTGACTCAAAACCCCAGCCTGTACCTGAATTCCTGAAATCGTCCCAACTTTGGCAAATCAAAATTTGACCCAACCATATCAGAAAAATGAAAAGTAATTACTAAATAATGATTGATTATCACATTAACCCACACTGACCAACAACCGAACCAATTGAGTGATTCATCACCCAGATATGGCAATGAATTGACCCGAAATTAGAACAACCCATTTTCACCTCTATACATGTTGATCTGGGTGTTGAATGGGAAGATAGAATTGAGAGTATATACTTTCAGTTTTCTCCCTTACTTTTTTTACTAATAATTTTACTTGTTTTTAAACCATGCATAGTAAGAATTTTGGTGAAAACGACCATATTTTCCACCTTCAGCAAGGGTCTGCAAAATTTGATTGCAGTTACTTGTGGTTAATCGCATTTCACTCTTTCTTCCTGGCACCAAAATGTAATGTTAAGGTTTTTTAATTACCGTGTTTTTGCTTATATCAACTTCTAATCCTAAAACAGGTTAACCTGTTTACATCTTAAGCCCTTAGCCCATATTATGGTTACTATCTCCCAGCATTAACTATTTTCACAATTTTACTGCCTTCATGTTGTGCCCTGGTTATTTTGTTCAGCTGCTTAAGGAGAAAAGCCTTCTTCCAGAACTTGGCCTCGAGGTCAACAACATAATATGCTCACTTGATCCTGAACTTCAAGGTGCGGCAGCATTAGTTGCTTCCACTCTTAGAGGAAAAGGTCAGAGTGTTGATTTAGTGTTGGAGAGCAAGCCAATGAAGTGGTAAGCAATTACTTTGATTTGTTTAATGGCTGTCATTTTTATTCTTCATAATGAATCAGATATTGATATTTGAAGGTTTGGAAAGTGTTTCAAATTCTTAAGTTGCTGAGTGTTGATGTCCTACTACATTTTTCAGGGTATTTAAACGAGCTGCACGAATAAATGCTCAGCGCTTAATATTGATCGGAAAATCTGAGTGGGAAAGAAGTACAGTAGCTGTAAAAATACTCTCAACAGGCGAACAATATGAAGTCAAACTTGATGAGTTAGATTGACACGAATAAGTTCCCTTGTATGAACAGCAGGATAAGGGATTGGTCGAAAGAAGGTGAGGGAGAGGGAGGGATCCATTTTTCCTCTCTTTAATAAACACTCTTTTTTCAAAACTGGAATTCGAAAGGAAAATGAACTCGACCTCTCTACCTTTCTCTTCCTTCCCCTTCCTCCTATATCCCTCCCTTTTCTTTCCTCTTATTTTGCTATCCAAATAATTTTCTAGCTTTAGGCTATTATTATAATTTTTTCTCATTATTTTGCAAACAGCAGTACCATAATATTATGTATAAATATGTGTTTTGTTAGCCAACCATCTTATTTGATACTTTCACTGTTATCATTTCAGGCTGCTGTTTAGATTTTTTCATTGCATAATTATAAGTTTTATTTCTTTGTAGTGTGTTTGGATTGGGGAGAATGAGGGGGTGGGGTGGAGGAGGTGACAAGAGAAGAGAAACTGAGGCATTTTCCATTGTTAAGTGTGGGAGTGAGAGAAATGGATGGAAGGAGAATGGAAGGAGATTTTTCGTTAATTATTGAAGAGAAATCTCCTCAAAATTGATACCCTGCAAGTTTCTCTTCTTGAGATACTTGACATGTATTTTAAAGGGTTAAATTTGTCTTTTCATCCAAGAAAATTGGGATAAAATTGTATCTCATATTTTCTCTTTCCCCTTTCTCTTTCACGATTCCTCAGTTTCTCCCTCTCTGTCGTTAAAATTTACTTGAAATCTCTATTGAAGCAACATGTGAGCTTTATCTACACCATTGAAGCAACTTTTAAGGTAAAATTAAAATTTTAAATCATTGAATCTCAATTTCACGATCTAGTGTTAAATGTTAATCATCTAACTTTCAATTTCACAATCTATTATGTAGTAGCGTTAATGAAGCAGAGAAGGCTCACAAGCATAGGTGAAACACCTATCCTTTAGGGGTTAATCATGCCTTGATTTCTAAGGGTTTTTCATTAAATTTGACGCGTTGAAATTGGTGGTGTTGGAGTTGGGGTTTGTTGTGTTAGGGCGATGTGGTGTTGGGCACAACCTACCATTGTTGATGAATGATGGGTGATGAGCAAGGAAGAACAAAGAAGGGACTACCAGAGAGAAAAAAAAAAAAGTAATGAATGTCTTTTGTGTGTGAGTCAATAACAAAAGATGATAAAATATTAATAATTTTGCTCTTATTTACATAATTTGTCATTAGAATCTATTTATTGTTTCTTAAGAAGAGAAATTGGGACTCGTCCGTTCTTAATTAGTTGACACACTTTATTTTGGCAAATATATATAGGAAGTGTGTTAAAGAATGATAATAGACAGTAATCCACCTTATCCATTAAACTAGTTTCCTTTACCAATTGACAATTGTTACTTTGTTAGTAGTGACAAACAAGCCACACCACTACCATTTGCACCACCACCCAAAACTACTATAGTTGTTTACACTACTATTGCTTAAACTATTATCATTGCATACAACAACATTGTAAAGGTATCCTCGATTACTACCACCACAACTCCATAACCATCGTTGTATTGGTGAAAAAAGTTGAATTTGACATCAAATTCATAAAAAATACGTAGTGATTCAGAAGTTCCAAATCTAAAATTACTATTTTGTGAAAAAGCATGAAGAATCTAACTAGTATCAACCCCAAGGTTTGGACAAGGATAGGAGGGAGAAAATTAGACCCTTCATCGATTGCTATTGCACGAAGAATTTTTTTCTTCACAAAATCAAGGCCATGGAGGTATAGTGATTTATATCTAGAACCCTTGGCCAAATCTGACCACATTTTGGTAAAAATGTCGAATTTAAGGTACATGAAACGTGTTACCAACAAAGCCAAACAAATTTCTTGCCTTTCAATTTCATATATAAGAATGTGTCTATGCTAAATTGCTAGTGCATGAGCAATATCTCATCAGTTTATGACGAAATATTGTCTTGACAATAGAAATGGAAGTTATTGAGAATTATCATATGATGTTAATTTGTTTTACAGAGGTTATGACGTAAGTGTATAGATTCCAATTATACATCATCTCTTAGAGCATGCATAATGGTGAGGAAAAAAAAATTTCCTCACCACTCTCTCTACATTTGCCCTCTCCTCCACATCATCTTTTTTGTGAGGGGATTTTTTTTATCCTATCAATGAATAAACCAAAAATTTCCTCACCATTCTCTCTCCTACTTTTTTCAATACCCCACCATATTTCTCTCTCTTATTTTATTTTATAATTTTGATGAATAAAAGTATTTACTTATTTTTAATGAAATTGTCAATAACATGGAGTTGGTGTGACAATATGGGTTCCGAAGGGTATTGAGGTGTATCCGAAACAATTTCCTCTTCATCTTCACCCACTTGACTGTTGCTTCCTTGATAAACTTGTGGAGAGTGCTCATAATTTAGAGAGGATGAGGTGGTTGTTGTGGAGGAAAAATAGGTACATTTCCTCCAAATCTTTCAAGAAGTTGAGAAATTTGTGGATGGTTTACAATAGAAGGATCAAAATCATTTAAATATTGGGAAAAGTTGGGATTACTAGGATCTATTTCAACAAAGAAAATAACTAAACAAGTGTTGTTAATTATAGATGGATTTAGAGAGAAAAATATGATTTTTTGAGGTGTGTTAAAATATAACAAAATGGATCTCATTTTATAGAGAAAAAAATTTTATGCCCGTTGGTGTAATTATTTTATTTTTTTATTAACCCAAATTTTAAAAATTAGCCATTACAAATAAACAACGGTAAAAATTTCAGCCAAATATTCTGATTGGTTTATTTAACAAGCTTGCCACTTGTCATTACATGAATAGTTATTATTAGAGCATTAAAGAAATAAAAAAAAAAAACAAAAAAAGGATGAAAAGCAGACACATGTTAAGCTTTTTGGTTGTGGGACCCGCGTGAAGTTTGGTGTGAACTTCCTCACGCTGAGAAGTTTTTCAGATGTTTGTGAGGTTTTTGATGAACTTTCACCATTGGGAAACATTTATGGGTAAAAAAATAATTCATGAGAAGAATATTCTTACCATTGGGGTAGCTCTTCAGTTGAAAGTTAAATAAATTAACTCCTCTATTTATTATACTTTATTTGTCTCTAAAAACTATTTGTGTTTCGTTTTAGCGCATTTGTTAATGTATATTTTAATCGTTAATATATCTAATATAGTGCTAGTAAAAGTTATAAAAGTTTCATAAACATAGACTTTAAGTAGTATTTACTAAAATGAATCAAACAAAACCACACATGAATATGTTATGTTTTATCTAATGGAAATAATTTAAAAGGTTGTCTTTGATTGTGAATATGAAGAACAAAAAGTAAGTAGTACTAGATTACTCTGTTCCCTTTATTTGTAATAAAAAAAAAACCTAACAATTTCACCATTTATTCTATTTTGAATTAACTAAAGTAGTGAAAATTCGGGTTCAATTTTTCGCTAGGAATTTATTTCGACTAAAGTTTCACACTCGGATATCGTATTTTTTCGAATCATGTCTTATAATGATTTGATTATATTTGCAAAATTGCTTAAATATAGCCAGTTCCGTATATGCCCCAAATTTTGGTTTTGGTCATATATTATGATATAGCAGTATCTTTTAACCAAGTTTGATTTATTACTTTCTCTCTCCTCCTTTTAATCTTTAAATTCTTCCTTCAACTTTAATTCTCATGCCATAAATTATTAAATTGTCCCAATTCGTCTCTTTTGATTCAATCTTCTTTATTTAACTCCTATTTTTTTTTTCTTATTCTTTCTAATACTCTGTCTGTTTCTATATGATAGTCTCATATGGAATCAATCACATAAAATAAGAAAAGAAGAATATTTGGAATCTAACATTAAAGTACAAAATTAAATCATTATTAGTTTTGCCTATTTAAATTTTTTGATTTTTTTTGGGAAAGCATCAGCCATAATTGCATAATTTAAGGGATGAATTTCCTTACTTAAAGCCATGTCATCAATCCACAATTAATTAATTTAACCAATCAAAATTTAATATATATATAAATTTGGAAATATACACTAAATTAAAAATAGAATACATTCAATATGGGTAGAAAGTTTTTGAAACGCCTAAAGTAGTATATGGGACTAACAATAGAAACGAAGAGAGTATTAAATTTTCAATCTTTACCAAAATTTTATCAATCAATTCAACGAACTTTTCCTCTTTCCCATGAAACTTTAATTACATTTGAAAATTCAATTTATTTTCCCCATATTTATACCAATTTACCTTAGCAATGGGAATAATAAATAAAATGTGATTTGGGTAAAAATACCCATGACACGTGGTCCAATCAGAATGGGACACGTGTCACCTCATGATAGGTCTAATGAGTGCCACTCACCAGTTGACACGTGGCACTCGAAGTCAACAAGGGAAAATGACGGCCTTTAAGGCTCAATTTCCGTGATAGCCCATCATTCCTAGGTTTCCGTAACCTAGGATTGTGGCACGAATCCCAAGACCCTATAAAAGGGAGATGCTCCCACCTAGGGAACACACATGAAAAACACGAACAAACCAGAGCAGTCAATGATTGCAAATAATTAACTCTCACCTCAGATAATCCGTTCGGCTCCGTATGTGCCTCAGCAGCCATACATGCCGTATGGACAACCTTACATGCAGATGTCCCTCTTTGGGGTCAGGCGACACAAAATGTTTAACCTTTGGACTGGCAGCTCCGTCTGCGAAAACTTGGGGAACAACCTTCTGCGTTCTCTAGGGAAATAACCGAGGCGGCACAACCGGCTAAGGTTAAAAATGTTATGGTGGGTACTTATGATGGTACCACCAACCCTGAAGATCACCTAATGGCCTACACCAACCTCATGTACTTCAGGGGTTGGATGATGCCACATGGTGCCGATGCTTCCTGGCTACATTGAAGGGCATCGCCCAACGATGGTTTGGCAACTTGCCAGCCAGATGCATTAATAGCTTCAAGACGCTTACGTACTCGTTCACTTCTAACTTCTCTATGAACATCCCTGCTAAGAAAACAAGTCTTGACTTGGGAGCAGTACAACAAGGGGATAGAGAAGGGCTAAGGTCATATGTCAGGTGGTTCAATCTGGTGAGAATCCAGATTCAAGGGCTGTCTGACGAAGTGGCCTATACAAACTTCTTCAAGGGTCTGAAAGACGGGTCGACCTTTAAGTTCGACCTCGTTAGAAAGAGGGTCGCTACCCTCCAAAAAGCTCAGATGGAGGTGGAAGCCCATATACAGGCGACCGAACTCTGCTCCATCAGTAAGCAGTCAGACTCCAAGAATTCTGACAAAAAGGAG